ATGGGAGAGATGGGCTGAGGAGTGCAGTTCTCTTTATCCACTTCAAACATTACCAGTGCAAGATTTTCGAGTTATTCAGCTGTATTCCACACTTTATAAACCTGACTCTTAGGTTAATTGACGTCTCTAAATTGAAAGTAGGTGTATGCATGAATGGTTGCATTTCTCTGCCCATCAATAAGCTGGTGACCTGTCTGGGCTGTAAGCCTGTCTTTCACCCATGGACTGCTAGAGAAAAGCAACAGCCCCACTTAGGTAGGAGGAAGAAATTGGATGGTTTATTATGATCCTTTCTGTAAGTGTCTAATTCGGTTTCAGGAGTTAAGAAAACAAAAAACAAATCTAAGTTATTTTATGTTTTATGCATAACGATGACCTCACCTGCTTAGGGTTATTGGTAGGCTGCAGCCAATACAATTATTATTTAAGACAGATGATTTTATTATATGAAGTTACAATGACATTAAATACATAGCCTACATGAAATACATGGAAGGATAAAACATAGTCTATTGCTATCTGCGAGGGTGTTTTTTGCTGTTACCATAAATGTATTTCTTTATTAGTTATTTATTTGTATGTGTAGCACCTTGTTGAACATTGTCTTGATTGGATGTATTTTTGTGGAGAGAAAAAAAAATTCTGTACAGTATACAAGATATACTGTTTATTGTGTGCTCTGAGTATGCAAGTATGAAAAAATAAAATAAAATAATGTACAAAACACCTATGTACTGCCAGCAAGTTAAACGCTAAAGTGAAAAGGGTCAAAGTCATGACATGGTTTCCATTCATCGTAATGTTTAACACTGAGCTTCTCGGTGTTCATAGAGTTCTTATAAATATTTATATAGTGGTTTGTGTTTGTCTTTCGAATGCTCTGTGAGGAATATTTAGATTGTTTTAAACATAAAGTTTGATTTAGAAGGAGAATTGAGGGGTTCATTTAGATATTTAAATGAACTCAGTGTAAAACACTATGATGAATGGAAACCACAAATCAGGTTTTTTCTCTTTTTCTCTTCATTTTCGTTTCATTGTTAAACCTGCTGCAAACAGTGTGTTGGATTATTTATTTATTTATTCCAAAACCAAGAACACATGAAAACAATATATCTTGTAAAATGTCAAGTGTATTTTATTTTTCCCCACAAAAAAAATTACATTCAGCTAATGCAAAGTTAAACATGGCGCTACACATACCAAAACTATTGTCTAGTGAGAGTCTTTAAAAAAGAAGCTGATTATTAACTCTCTATCTGGATAGCATTAAATTAAATACATCTAATAATTTGATCAGGACTTGTCATTTAAATCCCATATTAAACAGGTTTCTAGAATTTATTTAATTCATCCCTGGAATATAGCCAAAATTAAAAACATCTTGTTCAGGGCTGGTGCTGAGAAACTAATACATGCATTTCTTCTTCTGATTGTAATTCTTTGCAATCAGGAAGTCCATAAAATGTAGATGAACATCTTTGGTTCATCCAAAATGCTGCAGCCAGAGGTCTAGTAAAAATTAAAATGAGCTTGCATTTCTTCTATTTTGATTTGCCTTTATTACTGTATCTACCTGTTAAATCCGGAATAGATTTTTTAAATCCTTCTCCTCGTGTATAAAGCCCTGAGTAAACAAATTCCATTGTGCATCAGAGATCTCATTGTTAATTACAGACAGTTTACAAGTAAATCTGATTTTTAAAAAAACAAAAAAAAAACCTTAGGGTTAATCTAAAGAATGTTACGGAGAGGTCTTCGGTGCTGGAAAGATTTGGAGAACTTTTGCAAGAGATAGTGGGGAAATGTTGTCTAGAAATGGTGTGAGATGCTGATAAACTCAAGAAAATATATAATCATGAAGTGTCTCTGTTGAGTTTGTACAATTATTCAAATGTATTATAGCCATTTGTATTGTTTTTAGTTGAATGACATGGATATATTATAAAAAGGTTTTGAGTGATTAATCACTTTTTTCATCCAGAAAACATTAGGATAACCCCCTTCGATTTCTTTAATTGCCAATATGAACTTTAACCACTGGGTGGTGTTGTGGTGTTCTGGTGAGATGCACTCTTGGTTGCTGAACATGCGGTCAGAAAGGCATTTTGGTGGAATTCACACTCACATGGTGCCTATTAATAGAGTTGTTAAAATCCAAACTAAATACTATTTATGCACAGGTGCAATTCTATATATAAAAAACTCAGGCCAACCTTAAATTAACTGTTAATGTAAAAAATAAAAGAAAAAAAAATCTATGACTGATTCAGTTTCGTTTTTTTTGGGCTGTACTGAAATAGTTATATATCATATATATATATATAAATAATTATACCCTACAGATGCCTTGAATATTACCATATTATTAACTTCTTTTCTACACAGTAAAAAAATATCCAAAATGTATAGTCAACCTGTTTTACTCAAAATAAAGTATTTACCCCCATAGTGATTGTAAATCTGTTGAAAGTTAAAAGTGTTGAAGTTAATGTTCAGGGAAAAAATTGGCAGCCATGCAGGTTAACTTTTACTTTATATGGTGTCGGTTACCCATCAGTCGAATTTGATATTAAAATTATTAAAATTAACTCTGAAAAGTTGACACTGCCTATAGAGTAAATTTTACATTGATTTGGAGTGGGACCAAATGTTATCTGAAACAGAGTTATATTGAGCTCTGTAGGTTTTAACGGTGTATGCTGCCTTATAAAAGTACTGCCAGTTAAATTTTATTTTATCTTTACATGAACAAACCTTATTTTATTTTATTTTATGAGTATGTTATATAATACAACAATGCAACATAGTGCGTAGGTCTTTAGTGAAATGGAAAATCATACAAGGTTTAGAAAATATATTTTTACCAAAGACTATAGTGAAAACAGATGATTTTGTAGGATCTTTGTAGGATGATTTTGTAGGAACAGGGTTTTCTACTCTCACTTCCCCTAGCCATAGTCTTTGAACCCCTGGTGGCTGCAAATTGTAAATTTAAAATATCGAAATTAAACAGCCAGTAGAATGCGTTTGTTTTGTATAGTGCACCAAGCCCAGAAAACCACCAGAAATCCAGCAGAGATCCCACTGGAGTCAGAAGACAGGTTAGGCAAACAGATGAGATGGGGACAGGCAGACTCAAAGTTTGAGAGACAGAACAGGTCAGGATCAGATAATTGGAATACAGGTAGGCTAGAAAACTTCTCACCAAGGGCTTAAATAAGAGAACAGAACAGGTGGATAATATAAGTAAGTAATGAGAACTGGGCAGAGCTAAAAAAGAGTGTCAAATAAGTAATTAGACCAGACATCAGTGCCAAGATCATGGGATCTTGACTGCTAGTGGCAGTAAACAAAGTGAATATGTCTCCTTATGCTCCGTGCAGGTTGAGGTTAAACGTAAACAAAGTCACGCTTGTGACACAAAGTTCACCTCGGCGTCTGTCTATAAATAGTAAGAGGAAGGCTACATTCGGTCTCATTGATCTTCTCACCGTCAACTGTCTGCCACCATCATTCCGGTCTCAAAAAGCCTCAGGTCACCTCATTCAATGATTACTGGCCTGTCGCACTTACAGCTATCATGATGAAGTAATTTGAAAGGATGGTTACAGAACACATTGTCTCCAGTCTTTCCCAACATTCGACCCCTTCCAGTATGCCCACCAACAAAACCGCTCCACTGAGGATGCCATCTCCTCTGCTGTTCACCATAGCATTGCCCACCTGGAGGAGAAGAAGACCCACGTGTGGATGCTGTTCCTGGACTTCAGTTCTGGGAAGAGGCTTTGAAGCATGCAATGCAGGTCCAGCAGATTCGTAAAACAGTTTCTTCCCCACTGCCATTAGACAGCTGAACTGTTGTGAAAACTCTTCATCATGTCACTGACTTCACATCACACTGATAACACCAATCAAAAATTCAGCATATAATTGATATACATATTTTAATGCATTGAACTTCCATATCAATGCCTTTGTATATGCCAATACAAAGGCTGCCAATGTACTGCCAATGTATATTCTCCCACACTGTTTTTTGAGAACAGAAGCAGCTGCCTCAGGTTGGAATAAAAAGGACGTTGAAAAGGACCACTATCTTTTTAAAACTTCTCTCAAAGATCCTATTTCTGACAACCTCAAACACATCTTCTCCATTTTTCTGCTCTGCAGTGTGCAGGCGACTCTGTGAGCCCTCCTTCCAAGGGCCCATACCATTTACTGAACTTTTTCAACTGTTAAAATAAACTTGATTTATCTGATTCCCTGTTCTCATGTTGTTCTGCATGTGGGCTAAGAAACTGGAAACCAACAAGACAGTTAGCCACCCCTTGTTGCTAAATAATTATCACTTGTATTTGCACCGTTGCTGGTATCATCCCTCGCTGTCATTGGGCCAGAAGTGGGTTCTAACCTAAAGAGACCAGAATCATGATTTTATGCACTCATATTAGGATTTTTTTACTAGGATTTTAAACCCAAGACCTTCTTGCTACAACTGGACCCCTGAATAGCAGTATGTAGAAACATCTGAATAAAAAATGAAAGCTACTTCTACTGCTTTTGCAGCTTTTTAGGATACATTCTTTGGGTTCTGTGCATGGTTGTTAGATATGATTGAAAAATATAAGCCCATGATATGAGACATTGGTATTATTAAAAAAACATCAAGGGCTGTTAATGCCATGGCCATCTGTTTGAAACTCAAACAGATTTGGCCTCCATATAAAGAGTACTCATATATTCCTAACCTTTGACTTATCTCTGCACTTATACACTATCCCTATGTCCCCCATGTCTTTCTTCGTACCTCTAAACACATCCGAGTCCCCCAAGGTTTGTCTTAAGGCTAAGTTTGTTCCGCTCGTTCTTTGCAGCTAAATTTAGGCTGCAGAGACATCTGCAAGAATGATTTTGTTCCTTTAATATCACCATCAGCAATTTCAGCTGGCCAAGAGAGACTTCTCCACCCAGCTTAATGTCCCCCTTCCATTCTATATTCACACTCCTAATCTCAGCTTCTTCCTCCTCCTCCCATCTTGACACTAATTTCTAACCCCCCCTGCCCCCAAACCCATGGCAAGATCTGCTATCTGACTTTTGGATCGGCTTTGTACATTGCGGGACCTGAGTCTAATCATACATGGTGTCAGAGGCACTGAGGGATTTGTACTTTTGTGTTTGAGATTGATATCTCTCTTACTGTTTAGTGTTTATAGGTCTTTCTCTCTTCACAGGATTACAAAAGAATCCCGGTGAGTGGATACAAAGTTGTTGTTCTTTTTTCTCTCTGTAGATTTCTTGCCTGAAACTGTTATATTTCAGCTTTGGATTTTTCCCAAACACAAGCTACAGTGGTGGAAAATAGATTTTTTTATGAGTCCATTAAAAACTAAAGAAAGAGCCTAATATGTTGACTTTTACAGAAGTTGAATATTGTGTTATCAGAGCATTTGAGGTGAGTAGTAAATCTCCAAACTAAATGTACCTTCAAGTTACAAAACTGCATCTAACCTAACCTAAAAATACTTATCAACATGCATTTAGCTTCTCGCTGTTGGTATACAATCTGTCGCCTACAGCAGATTTTCTCAAGATGTGCTCTGAGTTCTTAGGAGTTTGCTTCAAGTCTCTGTGGTAGCTGTATGACGCCATGGCTTGTAGCTAAAATGTCTTGGCTAGAAATGGCTTTTAAAAATAGCTGCACTGGGTTCAGTTACAGTCAGTAGATGTGATGTTATGTTTTGCCACTTAACTGTAGTTTAAAGAAAATGTTGTTTGCAGATGAGTTTGCAGATATTAGTAATATAATCTTGACGTGGAATAAAGCATTAAGTGCAATAATGATGTAAAATACAAAAGAAAAGGAGGGAGGCTGAGGTTGTTTGATTTCGCTTTAAAATAGTTTTTGTGGGTGAGACAGATTTTGACATATTAGATGAAGACAATATTTAATCTTCTTAAACCACTTACAAACACCATACTGAGCAAAAGTATTTTATGTATGCCTTATTTTATGTTATTTTATGTTATATAACAATCCCAACATTGTAGCTGTAGGGTTAACTGATAAGACATTTTTTGGTAAGCCTCAGTATACCTTAGTTTACTCTGACAGATCTTAAAACAGATCTTGTGTCACTAAACAAAAACTGAAGCACACATTGAGCTATATGTTTCCTTTGGGGAGGACATGTGTTCCACGGGAGAATGTAAGGAATCTGGAGGCATGACACTTCCCGTGAGGATGAAAAATTAGTAGGATGTTTGTTGTCTGCAAGTCTCTTACATTCAGCTTCTGTGAACTTTCCCGAGTCGTCGATAGGTCTTGGTGTTGATGATTATAAGTAATTCTCAGAAACTGGTGGAGAACATTGGTAAATTAAAAAACCTTCATTCTTTTTTTCATCTAATTTGAACAATATAGGACTCGTATTTAAGCCAATAAGACGAATCAATCTTTTATTTCTTTCCTGAATTTGTTTTATATCAAATATTCCGAAACCTTCAGCTTTTTTAAAACATTTCCACCTTACCACAAATAGTTCTAACTACTAACTTAGAGCACTTACCCTGTAAACTTCAAATGCAGGAATGCAGTTCTGCATTTCTATACCCGGGAATAACGTTCTATGGTTTCTCCCTCTCCCTCCAGCTATGCCTCTGGGAACACCTGCCCCCCTAAACAAGCGGAAAAAGCCCTCCAAGATCATAACTGACCTATCGCATATCAGTCAGGATGGTAAGGCTGACGTAAAATGATGTGAATATGAAATTACCCCTACTCAGTAAAACTCTTTCATACAACTGCTGTTCACAGAAATAGATAGGTTAAAGGGTTGGTCACTGCAGATGATGCACTGACCAGAGAAAACAAGCACTAATATTTTGTGGGAAAATATTAAAGGAAAAATGGGAACAAAAATTTGCACAAGAGATAGTTGCCTGATTTATCTATATTAAATGTCTTTGCATATAGAACTAGTGAAAAACATAAAGCTAAAGAAGGGAAGAAAGGGAAGCAGGACAAAAGTAAGACAGGGAGTTGGACTCAAAGAAGGTTAGAATGGCTTAATGCTCAGCTTTAGTCAGTAAAGCAGGATCAAGAAAATAACAAACAAGGACAGCAGAAAAGAGGGGCTGAATAAGTGGAGCAAGGATAGCAACAAGACAAGAAGAGGGACACGTTGTAGTAATATTAGCAGAGCCAAGTAGGAGGACAACATGAAGACAATAAACAAATAATTGCAAAAGGAACAGGAAAAGCAAAGAAAGAAGAGAATGACCCAGTTAGAGCAAAAGGAGGAACACAATTAGAGCAGATTATGAAAAGAAAGGGAAGAAAAAGGAACCAATTATATAAGGAATAAGAAACAATGCCAGAAAAAAAGTCAAGGACACAAGCAGGAAAGAAAAAAGGGAGTTATAATGTATAGGTGTATGAAGTCTGGAAGAACACACTTTTTCCATAGTCTTATTTCTTTTGCCATGCTCTCCCAGACACACAGAAACAATGATGACAAGATCTTCTAATAAGTTATTAATAATATAGTGAATTTGAGAGAATGTAGGAACAGTAAAATTAAATAAATAAAGAAATGTTTTTGTTACCGGTATATTAAAACCAGATATATTATGCTTCTGTATAGTTGATTTCTATTCACTCTTTGGTTTGGTTTTGTTCTTGTTACAGTCCTTGACTAATTGAGATTTTATTGACTTATCGATCAATTGATCGATCTATCAGTTGCATCTTTTCATTTGGTAGATAAGACAAAATACTTCTTTGATATGTTGTCTTTTCTAGATAAGAGCTTTAACCAGTAATACTAACTAAAGTTTGCCATTGAGTATCTGAAACTATTTCTAACCATGCTGTCATCTAGAGTTTGAGTTGGAGCCAGAAGCATCAGAGTTCGATCTGGGAACTAAGATCAGGACCCCCAAAGAGATCATGCTGGAGGAGCTCTCTCTGATGAATAACCGAGGCTCCAAGATGTTCCGGATGAGGCAGAAGAGAGTTGAGAAGTTTATCCACGAGAACAACCCAGATGTTTTCACCAGTGACTCAATGGTGAGAAAATTTCCATTTAGTTTTCTGTTAATTTCAATATGTTACTGAGGCAGTTTGCGATATATCAAATTTGGAAAAAAAACAACAAATCTAAATAAGTTGGAAATGCTCAGGCCCTAAAAACATATAGTAGTATATGTACATTTCATTATCGAGATATTTTAACGAGATACGTTCAAAGCGCTATACATGGAATAGACGGTTAATAGCAAAACTCACAGAGAAAAGTACATTCTAGGACCTTAAAGGTGATTAAAAAATCGGTAAACATGAGTAATTAAGTTGATAAGTTTCCTGATAAGTTTTCTTTGATATAATGAGGATGCAGATAGCAGCATTCTGAATAAACTGAAGCGCTTAGGTTGACTTTTTATTGCAACATTGTTGCAGTTATCAGTTCTACTAAAGATAAATTCATTTTTTAAGATACTAATGAGACAGTAGGATCTGAGCCTGGCACACCACGAGGAGAAGAACACCCACATGTAGAAGCTGATCCTGGACTTCAGTTCAGCTTTCAACACCATCATGCATCTAAAAGGGAAACTGGAACAGCTGGGATTCAATACACCCCTCTGCAACTGGCTGCTAGACTTCCTCATAAACAGACCTCAGTCAGTCTGGGTTGGACAGAAAACCTCTGATTTCATCAGTCTAAGCAGGTCTGCGTCCTGAGCCCCCTGCTGTTCACCTGACTTGTTCACCTGATGGCACATGACTGCTTATCAAACCTCATGACCAGGACTACAGAGAGGAGGTGGAGCAGCTGGTGGACTGATGCAAAAATAGCAACCTGATCCTAAACGTGGAGAAGACGAACGAGATCATCATTGACTTCAGGAAGAACCAGCCTAACCACGCTGCACTGCTCATCAATAGCTCAGTTGTAGAGGTGGTAAACAGCACCAGATTCCTGGGGGTGCACATCACAACCTCACCTGGACTGTAAACACCACCTCACTAGTGATAAGGAGAGCCCACCTGCCCCCAGCCATCCTCACCACCTTCTACAGAAGCACCATAGAGAGCGTTCTGACCAGCTGCAGCTCCTCAGACTGGAAGAAAGTGAGGATAGTTGTGAGAACAGCAGAGAATATCATCGGGGCTCCTCTTCCCTCCATAAAAGACATTTCATCCCAGCGCTGAGTCTCCCAAGCCTGTAACATTATCAGTGACCCCTCACACTCCCACTGTGGACTGTTCTCCCTGCTCCCCCCTGGGAAGAGGCTTAGAAGCATCAGATGCAGGTCCAGCAGATTCCAAAACAGCTTCTTCCCCACTGCCATTAGACTGCTGAATGTTGAGAAAAACAAAAAGAAAAAAAAGCACTAATTGTTGGAAAAACTGTAAATTATATCTCAGTCTTATTTTTACATTTGATCATCATGTTTACATTTTATCACTGCTGCACTTTAAGAAATGGAAATGCCCTGAGAGCTGCACTGAACAGTTTTTCGTTCTGTTTACACCCTGTGTGTACAAAATGAAAATAGCGTTTAATTCTAAGTGTCTAAGTCCACGTCTAAATCTAAGACATTACTCTTAAATCCTGATGTTCGGAGATGTTCGCCAGGTGATAGAAGGCCAACTTTGCTAATGTCCATATGTGCCTCTGAAGGCTCAGGTCCATCACTTGGATTTTGAGCCTGATGGTTTTTAGCCGTATTAATTGAAGCTGTGTGGTAATTTTCATTGCTTCTTGTTTGGTACATTTATATTACTTCAGTTTTGTGAAACAAGGCACCAAGGTCCAATAATACAAGCAATGTGGCTCTTCCACAGTGTGCATTTATGCCAGTATCATTGAACACCTTGACAAGGGCAGTCTCTGTACTGTGGTGAGAATGGAAAAATGGCTGGAAGATGGTCAAACAGATAATCATTGCCGAAAGGTGTTTAACTGATGATATGCAACTTTTTTGATAATCTCACTGATAAATGGGAGGTCTAAGATAGACCTATAGCTTGTTCATGTTCTCTAAAGAGTTAAGGAGTTGAAAATCCTCATATTTGCAAGTTAAAGGGGTTTTCATGACTTGCTAAGAGCTGCATCACTAATTCAATCCTATTCTTTATATTGTTTATAACTGTCTTATCTTCATATTACAGGACAACTTCCAGAAGTTTGTTCCATCCTTGGGAGGTCAGATAGGAGGCCAGTTTATAAATCTTGGAGGGCATTATGTAAGCAAAGAGACAAAACATATGTATTTAGGAGCTACACCTGTAGGAGGAGGGGCACCAGTGCCTCCACCTAAGCCTGGAAGCAAGGGGGCAGGAGCAGGAGGAGCAGGAGGAGCAGATGGCGCTGGAGGTGCAGGAGGACTAGGACTGGCTGGGGATGAAAGAGATAGTAAAGGAGACGGAACAGGTGAGTATTCTGTCTTGCTACCAAAAAACAGAAAAAAACAATCGTTGCCACACGAACCCTAACCTTTACATGTGTTTAAAAACATACAACTCAGTTAATCTATTCATACCACTTGAATTCTTTAAGTTAGTGTCATTTTACAACTAAAAATTTCCATTAATGACAGTCGGCCCTAACTGCTGCATGCATTTGTATTTAACCTTCCCAATAGAGTGCTAAAGATAGGCAACAGTCACCTGTGACCTGATGCATTTAACCCCCGTTTACTAATACCAAAAGATGTCAGTGTAAAGGGGGTGCATTGTAGTGGGACAACCGTTCTCTGGAGTTGAGGCTTAAAAATTCCTTTTTCAAAATGCCTGTGGCAAACTAGCCACAGGACTTTGCTTTCCTATAGCTATTAAAGGTCAGAATTGTTTTGTTTCAACAAATTATCCCACTTAAGTAGTGGATCTTTGCAGCTTGCATTGCTCCCCTAGCTTGTCAGTTTTAGTGAATGACCAGTTCCAAGGAGGATTGCCAGACGATTAAAGAACCAGGGAGTTGTCCAAACCTATCTGGACATCTTGATACTAGTTGTTCATGTAAAGTAACCTATTAAACCTTCATAGAACAGCTAATTGTGTTCTTGGATGAAATTACACACAGGTGGATTCTGTTTATTAATCAAATGACTTCTGAAGACAAGTGGTTTCACAGCCTTTATGTTAAGGGTACCAGGGCTGAATGCAAATGAACAGCACATATTTTTGGTTATCTCAAATCCTCAATCAAGCATAATGTGTTTTTTTAATCTTTAAATTTAAAACGCTAAATTCAAGGTTGCTTTTGTAAAATGCCAAAAGGTAAACAAGTTTAAGTCATATGAGTACTTTTGCAAGATACTGTATGTAATTATTGGTAGCTTGCTTTGCTCTACATGAAATAAATGGTACTGCTTCTAAAAATTATAGGTATGTGATTAATATGTGGATGTTTTTCATGCAGGAGCTAGAAAAGATGGTAAAGGTAAGACCCTGGTGGTCGTAAAGACGTATGTGTCCCCATGGGAGAAAGCCATGAAGGGTGATGAGAACCTGCTGGCAACTCTTAAAGCTGAAATGCCTGGTCCTGTGGACAGGAAAGCTTTGCCAAAATACAAAAGCTTCAACAGGTGGCTCCCTCTCTGTTCTAATGTTTTTTGGTGCCCTGTGAAAACAAACCATCTGACTTAATCTGCCTCTTATTTCACCTTCTCTTCCTAGGATGGCCACACCGTACGGTGGCTTTGAAAAGGCCAACCAGTTCATGAAATTCCAGTTGCCAGAAACTGAGGTGACCAAAGAGGAACCTGAACCCGCAGTGGTGTACCAACATGACATCGGCTGCCGTCCCTCTTTCAATCGTACCCCTATCGGCTGGGTGACCAGCAACGAGCCCAGCAGCATCCACATGGAGACAGATGCCGTGCCCTTTGATGGGGAAACAGACGAGCTGTGAAAATATAATACTGTGATTGCAAATACTCCCATGTTTGCCTGACTGTATGGCTAAAGTTCAGCATGCACAAACCCACTGTAGGTGAGCTAAAGGTCCCTGTAGAACTGATGAAATAGAATGAAACAGTATGAAAAAAACAGAAAGTGTAAATGCTTGTATCTTCCTCTGTAATGAGTTGTAACGTAAACAAAAAGCTGTAGGTGATGAAATGTCAAACTTTAATTACAGCTTTAAAAGTTCCAAACTTCTAGAAAAGAGAAAAAAAATTGCTTGTGTATGAAGATGGAGATTCCTACTTTAAGATGTCTGTGTGTGCACCATTAACGTAAATGTTACTTCATTTATTTCCCCTTGCATTTTTGCTAAAACTCTTTATTCATATACTGTAGGTAAAAATACTACACAATATGTTCTTATACTAAATTACCTAAATCAACTTGCCTCTCATAGAGTGATAAAATCAGATTTCCTCTTAAGGGTTTATTAGACAATGTCTACTGTTCTTAAGATAAATTGATCGAGACTGGAAGTTTTCAAACTTAAAGCAGAAACCTCTCACAAATAATAAAAATAAGTTTTACAAATAATGTAAAGGTGGAAGGAAAAAGTCCCATGTTAACAAAATAAATATTTTTGAAAAAAAAAAAAAAATCAGTTGTCAAAATTTTTTTGACTCTCTTAACACCCCTGCAATACATTCTCAATCAAAGCATTTTTAAAAATTCAATTCTTGACTTTGTTCTGGTAACTTTTTATTAGTAATCCATGTTCCTGACAAGACCCAGAGGCTAATTTCTTTCAGCAAGTGACTACTACACTTGATCATATTTATTTTGCCATCTAGCACAGTAGGAAGGGTTATTAGGAAATTAGAAAATAAAGTTTATTGTTAGAAAACTGCAGGAACAAGTGGTATCTGGGGTGAAAGTTGGGTACTAGTTCTCTATAGCAACTATCAGATAGCATCCACATGACAGTCTATTGTTTGGGATGTATGCCAAAATAATGTCTTCAAGTTTTACCATAAAAAAGTCAAATGTAACATTTTCTAATATTTATCTGAACTTCAACAGGAGGTTTTTGTTTGATAAGACTAAGGCTTTTTTTTTCAGCAACAAACACACATTTGGTCAGAAAAAAGCTCTTCATGCTCAGTGATGTGTACAATGGAGGACATGTGAGGTTTTGGGTCTGTTTATTAAAAATCGAATGTTGAAATCTCACTTAAGTGCATATGACATTACGATAAAGTCATCAGGAGATTTAAAATAAAGGTCTGTTGATATCTGTAAGTGGGGTATAAATTGAAAATGATATGGCTTAATGAACCCAAAGTGTAAATTAAATGTTGGACCTGTTAATCAGAAGAGAGAAGCTGAGACCCTGGATGATGTAGAGAGATTGTGCAAAAACTTTTCACTCTCTTTGCTCCATCTTTTAAAAAAATTGACTGGGGTCTCCATCCCTGGTCCTCAAGATCCCCTGTCCTGTATGTTTTTATTTGCATCCCTAGTTATGGGATGCATTTAATGAATGGCGTAGTTACCACACATTTGCCAAACTTTATGTCAACCAGAGGAGGTGATTCAGTTATCAGCTGTGTTGGAGCAGGGATGCCTTTAAAATCTGCAGGACAATAGTTCTTAAACATCAAGGTTTTAAAATTATAGCCAGGGTAATGATGATAGTGGTATCTCTGAGTTTGAAAAAACAATGCATAAAATTCAAGTCAAGTACTGGAAGCTGTTTTTTTTTTTTGTTTTTTGTTTTTTTACATGGTTAGGTCTAAAATTTTGTAGCATCAATAAAAGATTATTTTATTGATATTTTTTTTCACCGGAAGTGCCAGTTAATTTAACCTGCACATGCTTGAGAAGTTTTTTTAAGAAAATAAATTTTAAAAGGAAGACAAATACATACTAAAAGAGAATATCTAAGAATATAAAATAGAACTTTCAAAAATATTCTATAACGATATATTTTTAAAAAATCCTTTAAAAAGCAGTTTTTGTAAAGTTATTTGTGTTCTTCATTTAAACACAGTCACTCAGACAGCAGACCTGATATATTAGCAGAAATTCAGCAATTATTATTTAGAGTTAAGCCATGGGATTAACAGTTTATTTTATATGGATTCCTTCTCATATAGGAATAGAGGGGAATGAGACGGCTGATGCAAAACAAGCAAGTAAATGTAGTTTAATTTATATAATAATTCCCTTTAGTAAAGGTGAAATAAAATCAGTAATTAAGGAAAGGATTAGATCAAGATGGCAGAAACCATGGAAAGAAGAAGGAACTGGCAGATGGTTTTATAATATTTAAAAAAAAAAATTGGGCTTTATGTGAAAAGGAGGAAATAGTGATATCAAGGTTACGGTTTGGCCATACAGGTTTAAATATCATGTTGTTTAAAATATGGAAACATGATACAGGGAAGTGTGATTTTAGTTTTCAAGAAGAAGCAGTGGAGCACATCATATTGTTTTGCACTAAGTATGTAAATGAGATAATTTAATTGATAAACAGATTACAAGTCAATAAATTGAAGTTAAACTTAAAATACCTTTTAGACTTGGATTCTAAATCATGTTATTTTCCTTTTTATTGAGATTTCTTAAAAAGACAAATGTGTTAAAGAGGATTTAGTTTTCTTTTTTTTAGCTGACTTTTGTAGTAATATGTAGTAGGATATTGAATTAGTTCATTCGCGAAACACACTCCATTTCAATTGGTGGCGGTAATGCACCAAAAAGTTGTTTGCCAACCGCCATAAAAAATAACAACAAGAAGAAGCTATTTGTCTTCCACGCCACTGGGGGCGCTAATGCTCAATCAAAGTTATTTGATACAATGAAACAAGTTAAATCGTGCAGCTGAGGAGGTCACAGCAGTAAGCAATGATTGATGTCTGGAAGATTCATGAAGAGTTGTTTACATTTTATAGCTTATTAGGCAACAATCATGGTAACCTTACGAGTCGCTCAGTCTTTGGATAACTAAGTTAACAGCTAAAGATATTTTATAGAGGTTTCGGGGATATCTTAGTGAAAACAATGCAGATTGATAAATAGTTTCATTTAAACATGCAGTCGATCGGAAGTATAAAGTGAAATAATAGTTGGATACCATGATATAAACCTTTCGGTATGCTGGAGGTACTGAAACCTCCGACGAAGAGAATAAGAAGATTTCATTTGCAGGTAAGAAGAACATTTTACATGCATTTTATAAACCAAAATAAAACTGCAATATAATAATAACTACAGTAGTTGTATTTTATAAAACTTTGTATATTCTAATGAAAAGGATCCGGTTTAGATCATATAAACCATTCCTCGGAACACTTAATTATATTTTACATTTCCCTGAAGGTAGTTTGCTTTTTTTTTTTAATCGAAATACAAGTTCTGATTGTGGTATTAAAGCAAGAGCAATGACAACCCAAACAACAAAGAAGCTATAATAATAATAAAAATGTATGTTAAAGTCAAACAATAAGTTGCTATAATAATTTTGGCCTAATCCTTTATAGAAAAACTGCCCTTAAACAGTGATTTTTCTTTTTTAATCAGTTTTAAAATCAGCAGTTTCTGTATATCTTTAGTTTTTAAGGAAGTTTTTTTTTTTCTAGAGCTAAGCAGCATAGAGGAGAAATGCTTCCTACTATGAAGGTAGATTTGTTTCTTTATTATTCAATTTAAAAAGTTTCTTTAAACAAAAAAGATTGCACTTCTATCAAATAAAACATTTTCAATCAAAGAAAAGCAGTGTTGAAAAGTATTTTTTTGAGTCTCAAATATATTTTTGCATTCAAATACTTTTTTCTTTGATTGAAAAGTTTTATTTTTCATTGAAGTGAAGATTTTTTTAATTGAAAATATATTTTTTGATTGAAGCAACCTTTTTTTGATTGAATAATAATAAAAAAAAACAAGTCTACCTTCATATTCCTCCACTGTTTTAGTTCAGATCCTGAAAGATCTCTGATGCCTTGACAGATCCACAGGGATCCACAGGCTTTCAGAGATGTGTTGTTTTTAGGCTGGAGAGGATTCATCACTATTTAGACCAGTCCCAACACTGTAATATGTGCTTAAACAGACAGGAAACCTTAACATTGCTGTATTGGGCTGCGACTAATGATTATTTTGCAAATCAATGAAAGTGTTGATTCTTTTTTCGATTAATTGATTAATAACCGGATGGAAAAAGGTTCCTTAAAGAAGATTTTTTTTAATGGTATTAAATCAGGGGGAACTTTTCCACTCAAGCATATTGACAGTTCTAGTTCTAAATGAAAAAGGTTCATGTTTTTTTTTGTTTGTTTGTTTTACAATTTTATAATCACAGCTCTAAATTGGTAGCTCTGTCAGCTAAAGGCTTGTTTTAGAGTCTCTATAGTCCGGTTAACGATTAATGGATTACTAAATTAGTTGACGATTATTAAAATCTCACATTAAAAGAAAAGACAATTAGGAGAAATTTATTGATATAATTACTTTGGTCTTTGGTGCTCAGACCTCGGCAGGAAAGATGGCGGTGAAGTGGAGATAGATGTAGTTGGTCAGTCTGTAGACTGCTGGTTAGTGAGACGGTCTGCTGAGCTTTATGGGGAGATCCAGTGGGTTGTGTGAGCTGATACTAGAGCTTCACTCAGGGACCTGGAAGATGGAAGTCCAGTTGGATAACACAGGTTTAGAGAACCTGTCTATGATGAGCAAGTATGAAGTGAAAGTGGAGAGGAAAAACTCCCGTTTGGGAAGTAACCTCTGGCAGAACCAGGCTCAATATGGCGGTCTTCTGCCAGACCAGTTGAAATGAGACGCGGAGTGCAGTAAGAGTGCAGGAGGAATGCACTGATGAAGCTTTAACTACGATGGTGGAGGAGGGGCTGGAGGTGGGTTGAAACGGGGTCATCTGAATGAAGTCACACAACGCAACCACAGGAGCAGACGAGCGGATCGGAGGCCTTTTAAGATGAACTTTGGAGGCCTATTGGCTTTCGTGGAGGTGTGGTTCAAAGCTGATTGGCTGTCGCAGGTGGATGAAGGAGGGCAATGAATTTCTTCAGTTGAACTTCCACCTAGGCTCCATTTCAATGATGGATTAATCCCGATTAACGCGATTAATTGTTTCAGCCCTAGCTGTATGTGTAGAAATGATTCAGGGTTTTAAATTAAAAGCCTATTTTTCCATTTTGCCATTACTTGAATGGGTTTTTTGCAGCCGTCTCCTTCCAGAAATGTGGAAATACTTAAGCATCACAATAGGCATTTTTAATATTAGACATTACTTTTATGCTTAACATAATCATAAAAGAAGCATTTTAGTACATTACATTATCTGAATACAGTTCCAAATATTCAGTAAATCAGATACTATTAAAATTAGTTAGAGTTGTTTCAAATAGAATAGATGAAAAGTAATAATTCTCACAGAATCACAGATTGAACAGGCCAGATATAGAGTAATGGGGAACGGAAAAAGAGTGAAAGCAACTAAACTTTAAAATCTGTCTCCCTCCGTTTTAGAGACCGTACAGCAGAGTGACGTTGACCTGATGACATCTGAGTTCAAGCCCCAGCCGTCACCGCTGTCATGGCCTGAGATCTTTGTGTATTGG